CTATATGCTGGATTTCTTCTGCTTGTGGGTCATTCAAATGTATTTTCAGTGTTCCTAAGAATTATCTATAGCCATATCCTTTTCTGCATCTATTTCCAATGAGCATGAAATGTTAAATTATTTTTTACCTTATTTGGTACTGATATGTGAAAGTAATAACGCAATTTGTTCTAATATACATCTTGTCACTGTTGAAACAGATTTCCCAGTTCCTTCAGTTATATAGATAGATGTAAAGAATATATATTTAGGCTTTTCTGAAAAGAGTATGTCAGGATACTTGTGAACATCAAGAGCCTAGAGTTCACATGTTGGTAGTGTGTGGTTTTAGGCAGTACATCTCTGTCAAGAGTGTTGCAGCCAAAATTTTGCCGATGAGCCAAAAAGATTTCTCATTTTATGCAAAGTGGAACCATAGCATTTCTCTCTGAGACTGAGAATTATTAAAATACCTTGAATACCACGATGGGGCTCACTGAGGTTTGCCAGCAGGCAAGGTCAGCAGGCATGCCCCATGTCCATAGGACACTGTCTGTATGAAAAGAACATTCTGGACCCGAGATTTGTACCTGTCATTGTCTTAGGGAGGATTGAATTTTAGCACAATATATGACTTATGCTGGAATATACTGAGACCTATGATTGTAGGTAAGCTTGAAAAACTGAAAAACAAGCAAATTAAAAAATCTGTTCTTTAAAAGCTACCATAGTGAAGGCTCAACGCAATTATTTTTGTTGTGGGACCGCCTAAAGGAACCTAACACTGGCAGGAAGCCTTCTCCAAAGAATGAGGATCTGCATTAAAAGGTTGGTCTTATGGCCAACTTGACTTCTGGGCTTTCATTTATTTCTGTCTAACACAGAAGTTCAGCTTTGTAGCAATTTCTGTTGCTTATGGCCTTACACCAGATATCTGAACGGCTCTGAACTTTAGCCAGGGGAGTGATTTCTGAACTGGAGAACATTGACCCACAAAAAAAAGGCTGTGAGAATGCCAACCATTGCATAAACCTGACTTAATGAAGTCCACCTGAGTTTGCAGTCTCTGGCCATGCTAGCAGGCCATTAAAGAGAAGGACAAATTCAACAAGCTAGGGCAAGCAAGTCCGGGAACCTTCTGAATAGCTTGATATATTGAGAAAAGACTGAATTTCTCACTATGAGAGGCAGATGAGCATCCAGATTAGTCATAATGTGAACATTTGTTTAATTATTACACTGAAACAGGGAAAATAATTATTATATTTCAAATATATGTATTGAATTTCTGATTTCACCTTTCAGCTTGAGTCCTATATCTCTAATTTTTAAAGATAAGTACCTTCAAGTGAATCATTATTTGCTGACTGGCCATCAGAATTATTTCTTTTTACAGTCAATATATTATTTTCACAAATATTTTAAATCTCATTTAAACCCAAACTACAAAATGAGCAAAATCATTATTCTGGTGTGGGCTTCTCTTATGTTGCACATATTTAATATCATCATTATTATTTTCTGAGCTTTTAAAAAGCTAAGCACAAGTAAACAATCTGAAAATTTAAACTGTTAAGGGAAAAAGTACCTAGGAATCAAGAGATTGGAAATTTAGTCTTAGCTGTGCTACTAACTAGCTGGGTGGGACACTGAATAGCTTGATATATTGGATCACTTTGCTTTATTGGATCTTTGATTGTTTTTCTTCCTAAAATGACGAAAATGTACCACATGATTTCCAAGGACTCTCGCAGCTCTAAAAGCACTAAAATGTCTTGCATCTCCATGTGTTACATATATTTTTTCGACACAATGACGTCTCATTTTCTAAAATGTTGCCCTGCAGGATACGCTACACCTCCCAGGTGTTGAATCTATCAGGTAGTAAAAACAACTATTTCATTCACAGTAGGATATTGAACTGTCAAAACAATTGCACATACTTAATGTACTAAGATAGAGATTTCAAATTTTTTGACAATTTAATAACTGCTAGATATCTTGATTTTACTATTTTCCCCTTATAAAAAATAAATTTTAGACTGTTCATGCACAATTAAAAACAAGTGTTTCTTTTCAAACTCTCCCAAAAATTCATTTTAAAAATTGGATCACAGCAGGAAGTGTCTATCAGGTGAAACACTGAATTAAATCATGGCCTCAACATGGGTGTTATTTTTCAGTGAATACATATATTTCCTTTTAATAGTCTGAAAAATTTTCTCTGACTTTTTTTCCATAGAGATTTTTGTGCTTCAGAAATGTTTATCAGTTATTTAACTTCCATTTTGTGAAAGTAGTTACTTTTAAATTATAAATGTGTGTCCAACAAATATTTGCTATTTTCAAAGTACTTCACAGATATATTTATTGAAGTTTGTGCTATCATAAAATGATATCATTATCTGTAGGATGTTATGGTACAACATAAACAGTGGTTATTCTTGATTTTCTAGAACCTTTGCTAGATGGGGGCAGCAGCCTTAGTACCAACTGGGAGCTTATTAGAAATGTAAAATCTCAGCCTCACCCCACCTCTCTTGAATCAAGGTTAAATCATAAGCATACTCAAGTTTGAGAAGTGCTTGTCCAGAAGGGATGCTTCTGCTTCTGTTCTGAGAACCATGCTTCAAGTATCAAGCCAAGAGACAACCTGCGGAGGTTCTGCTCGTTTTTTTGTTTGTTTTCACCTCATGGCTTTTTGGGATATCATTGAGATGATGGTTAATACTTATAGAATGACACATTTAAGCTGACACTTAAGAATGGCTTTAGTTCTAGAGAAGATTTTCATGTTGACTTTGGAGGAAGATGTTTTCCTTATAATCGTATATACCACCTAGATGGTATATTAAATATACTTTTATTCCATTTTGAAAGTAAATTATCATAAGCTGATTGCATTTGGATTAAGCATTGTTCATTTCTATGGAATTTCAAAGGGTTTTGATTATAAATTAATTGTTTCAAAGTATTTTGTGCTTGGATACCCAACCATTAAATATCCATAGAAATGTGTGACTACATCTATGGGGTAGATGTTGGCTCAAAATGTGCTGAGTATAAACCTTACAAAGTATAATATACAATTTCCTACATCTATTTTCACTTCTGGTTGCCTCTTTTATCCAAAGATATTCATGCTTTGGATATAAAATCCTGTGATGTAATTTGAGGGAAAATTACGGTGTGAGTTTTGTTTATAACAATGTAGTGGTCAGAAGAACCCACTCCACCTTGGCACTGGCTTATAGTTTGGAAAATGCTCATATTCAGTTGTAATGCATCCAAAGGACAGTTAACACAAGAGATATTTAAGATGGAAATGGTTCTTACAAATCAAAGTAAACATTTTCTAAAACAAGAGAACATACAGTATATATAATATGATATGACTTAACATAACACAGTACACTAAGGCTCTTATAGAAAAGGGCCGAATCCAAAAGTAAATGGAAAAACAGAAAAAAAGGTGGGAAACAAGGGGAATCTTACTCTTCTTCACCTTCAATAGAGAATGTAAATTTGCAAAATGTTAGTGGAAAAGGCTCATTCGCCTAATCATCAAATATGCATTGTTTGCCTGTGTTCACAACGCGGCATTAAATACTGCACTAGTATCTCAAGAAGGGAGGAAAGTAACATTATAAAATACTTATGGAACAGCAGGAGTTGTGAAGTAGGGTCAGTGTAAGAAAAAATGATGTAAAACTTATAGTGTAAATTATAACTCAACTTTGAAATGGAATTTAATTTCAAGTTTGAAATGGAGACAAAGGAAACAGAAAGAGTGAAATATAAGATTCATATTATATGAAAGAATAGAATAGGAGGAGAATAAGAAGAGAAGATTAAAAAGTAGAGAGAAGGCATTGAAATGAAGGAGAAAGAGATATACAGATGAGTAGCCAGTATTTACTAGGAGTGGAGGAAACACAGGAATATGGAAAACTGAAATTTTTGGAGAGAGATAGGATTATTAACAGATTTTCTTAAAAGTTAGGTGTCCATTTCAATCTGTTCCTTTCAGTCCAGAGAATACAGTTATAACAGTAACAATAGTTAACATTCATTGACTGCTTACAGTTAGGCACTGTTATCAGCACTATACATGTATACAATGTTCATATGGAGCCGAAGAAGGAAGTACTGTTACAATCCGTTTTACGGATGGGAAAAAAAAGAGGCCAAAAAGGGGTAAGTAATTGGCCCAAGATTAGACAACTAGTTAGTGGTGGAGCTAGAGCTCAGAATGTCTGACTACAGAATTTTTGCTATTAACCACAATGCTATTAAGTCTCACAGTGTATGAATGTCATCCTGCCTGTAGATATTATATTTCTAGAAAAGAAACTTGTGTTTTTCTTTTTTAGCAAGGGATTTATTTTCCACCTTAAATTGTTGGCTATTTTTTGAAAGGCAACGTAAGAAAGTTAAAAGGCCTACGTTTTAGACAAACAGACCAAGATTCAAACTCTGACTTCACCACTGACAACTTTCCACGTCTTTGGAAAACTATGCAACTTTTCTTATGCCCCTGTCTCATTTGTGTATAATTTTCTCCAATGTGTGCTGTGAGATCAATAAGATTGAAAATATGCTTGACAAGGCAGGAGCTTAAAAATGGCAGTTATTATTTCTACATTACTATGACCTTTCTTACTGTTATTCTCAAGTATTGTTAACTAACTGTTGTTAGTCATTTTTTCCCTGTAGAATATGAACTCTATAAGGATATGGAATCTCAGGTGTCTGGTACAGAAGAGCTTCTCAGTATGTGCGTAAATAGATGGCTACTAAGCACATCCCTGTCTGCCTCTTCCTGCAATGTTTAGCACTATGAGATGTCTTTTTGCTGAATTCAGTACACCTCTCTATTCTTTTGAGTTTTGCGAATGCAGATTCAGCCATCTGGTGTATCAAGTATTTTTTTCAAGATTGTGGGTTATATTATTTGTCCAAACATGCCTTCTCTGTTTTCAGCCAACCAAGAACAAAAACATTTTCCTTTAGATGTCAACAGAATTTATTTGTGAGTTAAAGGGAAAAAATTAATAGTAATGAAGGTGGGGGAAAAGAGGTCTGTTTAATATCCATGGGCATGACAGTCTTGAAGGTTTTGCTTCTTGTCTTCTGTGCTTTCTGTCACCAACAATGTGAAGTTAACTGGGCAGGATAGTAGTATGTAGAACCATATTCATTAATTCAAGTCCTTGGGTCAACTTTAATAAAAGGAGGCAAAAAAATAGGAAGCTAGGAACTGACCACATTGGCTTTTAATACAGAAAGATCAGTGAAGAAAATTCCCTTTGGCAGGTGCAAACAATTGTAAAAAAGGAGATAACCCCCACTTCCCCAAAAAAACCATGAAAGGTTTAAGCATTAAAGTATCTATTTTGGCTTAGATTAATTCTTTCAGTTGGACATCTAGCCTACACACTCAACCTTGATGTGTGTTAAAAAAATAAGTTATTATCTGAATAACTTGTAAATATTGTTACTTTCAAAAAAATTAAGAGTAGCACTAACATTGACAATAAATTAGCTTAGCATTTGTAAAGCAATGAATTATGTTTCTGTGTACTTAAATGCCTTTAGAAGAGATTAAATTTAAAAATAAAATGAATTTCAGAAATTTAAAAAATAATGAACTTTAGATGCTATATTTTTGTTTCATTATTTTTTAAGCACAAAAGTGCTAACACAATGATTTCACAGTAATGAAAATTCCATTTATATAGCGCCTGTATGTATACTGTATATTTATCTTCTTCCCACTTCCCCTAGAAATTTATTGCATAATAAAATGGAATTTCCAGACAGAACTTAGTTTTTTATGTCTTAATGTATGTCAGAGAAACTGTCTCTTTTTTTGTACCCATTGGTAATTACATAGCATTGCTTCAAAATATGACTGCATCTGGGTTTTATTTTTATGTTTCCCTGTAAGCTACTTGTAAATGTAGTCACTTGATAGCATGGTGGTTTATTATTTTTTTTTCTTGTGTTACAGCCAGCATAAAAACTACACAATCTGGTAAATAGGAAAATTATGCAATAAATGAATCTGATCAACTCCTGAAAAATAGAAGTTTGCGTATATTATGAAATCAGAGCTTTCATTTACATAATTCCTCTGAGCAAAGTAATTTATTCATGAAAGTGAAATAAAAAAAATCTAAACTTTTTTCCCAATTTGTCTAAATTTCTCCTTTATTTGTGACCCATTGATAAGCTCATTGGAAATTCAATGATTTGATACCCACTATGTTCATCACCCTGCATTCGGTGGCCATAGACTCTTAAAGCTTATCCTTCAGGGCAGCCTAGAGTCCACCTGCAAGGAGATGAGCTCAAGATAGGGCCTTGTAAGCAGCGTTAATAACATTGGATTTTATTCTGATTAATTGTGTTATATTACATAAAGTCATATATTCTCATTCATTTATTCAATATTTATTTGATGAGGATCCTCTATTTTCCTGTTATTGTTCTAGGTTCTCGGGATAAAAGAGTGAGTACCAGAGATGAAGACTGCTTTTTCTCAGTTACCGATGTTTTAGTGGGGCTGCATTACAGTCACTGAGTCTTTCTGTGTCTCAAATTGGTTAACTTATGGGTTTCCTAGAGTGTGGTGGGAAGGAACTGGATAACAATATGAGACCCTAGAGTAATTAATGCATAGTGGAGCACAAATGCTCAAGAAACATTAGTGCTCATTCCACCAAATTCTATTCCCTATAAAATACATAAAAGTCTTAGGTCAAGTAAGTTAAAAATCAATGAAAAACTTATACAGTCATAGAATATTATGAATTTGTTTTAATATCATTATAAATATTTCTGTTCTTAACCAAACATGATAGATAATATAAAAAATATTATATTATCTATCTGGGGCACCACTGTTCTATAATACACAAGGGGGATCACCTTAGCTTCTGAGTTATCGATGTTTACTAATAGTTAAAATGATACTGAATGCAGCTCAGCTAGTTTGAAGAGTCTCACTATTAGCAGAGAGGAGATTTGTGCAACAATCATGTTGTGGAACAATGTAGAAAATATTACAGATTAAAGAAACTCTGAAAGGAGCAAAATCAACAACCAGCTCCCAATCATGTAAAGCCTCAAAATGTTATTTGAGATGAGGCCAAAATAAATAGGAATTTTGAAAAATATAAATAGTCCATTGATGCAAAAAAATGTTCATGGAGTACATATTTTATGCCAGCCATTGTTTAATAAAAGAAACAGAAAGTATCTTCCCTCATGAAGGTTACATTCTCTTAAGAGGAGATGGGAGAGAAATCAACGAATGAATCTCCTATACAAAGATTAGGAGAAAGCACATTCTAGGTGAAAAGCACAGCTTGTGCAAAGGCATTGTGATTGTGTGTGCAAAGAACAGCAAGGAGGGCAGAGTAAATGGTGGTCCTTCAAGAGAGAAAATGTGGTAGAGTGAATGAAATCTGTGCAGGAAAGTACAGATCGTGCAAATCGGGAGTTACCAAACTACAGCCTGTGGCCCACGTTTGACCCACCAGCTGTTTCTATGTGGCTTCTGAATTCAAAGAGCTTTTTCAATTTTAAATGTTTGGGATAAAATATAAAAAGCAAAACCGTATTTTGTAACACATGAAAATTGTATGAAATTCAAATTTCAGCATTCATAAAGTTTTATCAGAATACAGCATGTTCTCTTATTCTTACATTATCTACAGCTGTTTTCATGCTACAAGAACAAAGTTTGGTCGTTGCTATAGAACATATTTAATAACAAGCCTTTTACAGAACAAGTTTGCCAATTCTTGATATAGGAAATAGCAAGTATTTTAGATTTTATACTGAGGGAATGTGAAACCACTGGGTGTTTTAGAACACAGAATTGATGTGATCTGACTATTTTTTAATCTAAAAAGTTAATGGAATCAATGACTAGCAGGTGGGACTTTACAGAGAGTTTTTGTATTATGTAGGATCTTTAATTTTGTAAATGACAGATAATTTAGCTCAAAGTGGTTTAAACTGGAATTTCTCAGCTTCAGCACTATTGACACTTTGGGACAAGTATTTCTTTGTTGTATGGGCTTGTCCTGTGCACTGTAGGAAGTTTAGCAGCATCCCTGATCATTACTCACTAGATACCAATAACAACCTCCTACACTGCCTACCTCGCCCCACCCCGACCCCCAGCTGTGAAAATAAAAAATGTCTCATAGCATGTCCCAATATTCCCTGGGGGATGAAATTACCTGCAATTGAGGTCTACTAAATTAAACCAAAATTAATCTATTACTTCATATTATTTAAAAGGTTGGTTGGATACGGGGCTCAAATGCTATTGTTTGAAGCATCTCTTTGGACTCCATTCTCTATTGTGCCTCCATTGTCAGACTTACAGTTGCTCTAGGCATACATTATCACAATGACCAATTCAAAGAAATACAGAAGACTTCTCTTTCCCAGAAATCCCACCGATGACTTACCACATCTCATTGGCTCTGGTTGGTTACCGGTCCATTTTAAGACAACCTCTTATTGGTTTATTCCAATTAGGGGGCTCTTGGAGCTGGGACCACATGACTGACAGCAGGGAAAGGTTGAATTTTTCATTCCAAAGAAACATAAGGCGGTACTGTCAGGAAAAGGAGATAATGGATTTTATGAAAGCAACCAAAAATGCTTCACTATTGACCTGACAGGGAGATCTATTTGGGGAGTGTTTAAGAGTACCTTGCCATGGTGATGATAGTTAACAATACTGTATTATGTATCTGTAATTTGATAAGAAGATAGATTTTTAAGTCTTCTCAACAGACACAACACATATATAGACACACACAAAATGTTAACTATATAGAGGTAATGGATATGCCAATTAACTTGATTATGGTAATTATTTCACAATGTATATGTATATCAAAGTATCACATTGTACAAGTCAAGCATATACTCTGGGTTTTTTGAGTGCTTGTAAATGAAGCACTCAATGACACTGTATAGTTCCTACAGCTCAAATCAATAAAGTCTCACAAGAGGAAAAACCATAAAAAAGTGCCTCTGCACAACTAAGCTTTAGAATGTTGGGGGAGACAAATGCATAAATACATATTGTTAACCATATAATTGTTCAAATCAGAACGTTTTCAGGTATGAAAGTGCTAGAGTTTCAATATGACTTGTTTGATCCCTACAAATCTTGTTGAAATTTGATTCTCAATGTTGGAAACGAGGGCTAATGAGAGGTATTTGAGTCATGGGGACAAATCCCTTATGAATGGCTTGGTGCAGTGCTCAAAGTAATGAGTAAGTTCTCACTCTATTAGTTCCCAAAAGAGCTGATTATGCTGATTATTAAAAAGAGCCTGGTACCTTTCCCCCTTCTGTTTCTCACTCCATGTGATTCACCTTCAGCCATGAGGAGGAACAGCATGAGGGCCTCACCAGAGGCAGATGACAGCACCACACTTTTTGTACAATCTGTAGAACCATGAATCAAATAAACTTATTTTCTTTATAATTATCCACCCTTATGTGTTCCTTGATAGCAACACAAAAATAGACTAAGACAGAAAGGTTATGGTGCTGATAATCACTCTAGGAGAACATGCAAACCAAGAGTGTGACCACTTTACTTATCACTTATTGTATTAGTTCATTTTTCATGCTACTGATAAAGACATACCTGAAACCAGGAACAAAAGAGTGTTAATTAGACTTTCAGTTCCAAATGGCTGGGAAGGCCTCAGAATCATGGCAAGAGGTCAAAAGCACTTCTTACATGGCAGTGGCAAGAGAAAAATGAGGAAGAAACACAAGCGGAAACCCCTGATAAACCCATCAGATCTCCTAAGACTTATTCACTCTCATGAGAATAGCAAGGGAAAGACTGGCCCAGATGATACAATTACCTCACCTGCATCCCTCCCATAACACCTGGGATTTCTGGAAGATAAAATTGATGTTGAAATTTGAATGGGGACACAGCCAAACCATACCGTTTCACCCCAACCCCTCCAAATCCCATGTCCTTATTTCAAAACTAATAATGCCTTCCCTACAGTCCCCCAAAGTCTTAACTCATTTCAGCATTAACCCAAAAGCCCACAGTTCAAAGTCTTATCTGAGACAAGGCAAGTCCCTTCTGCCTAAGAGCCTGTAAAATCAAAAGCAAGTTAGTTACTTCCTAAAAACAATGTGAGTACAGGCATTGAGTAAATACAGTCATTCCAAATGGGAGAAATTGGCCAAAGCAAAGGGGCCTCATGCAAGTCTGAAATCCAGCAGGGCAGTCAAATCTTAAAGCTCCAAAATGATCTCCTTTGACTCCATGTCTTGCATCTAGGTTACGCTGGTGCAAGAGGTAGGTTCCCGTGATTCTTGGCAGCTCTGTCTCTGTGGCATTGCAGAGTACAGCCTCTCTCCAAGCTGCTTTCATGGGCTTGTGTTGAGTGTCTGCAGCTTTTCCAGACTCACAGTGCAACCTGTCAATGGAGCTACCATTCTGGGGTCTGGAGGATGATGGCCCTCTTGTCACAGCTCCACTAGGTGGTGCCCCAGTAGGGGCTGTATGTGAGGGCTCTGACCCCACATTTCCCTTCTGGACTGCCCTAGTAGAGGTTCTCCATGAGAGCCCTGCTCCTGTAGCAAACTTCTGCCTGGGCATCCAGGCATTTCTATACATCCTCTGAAATCTAGGCAGAAGTTCCCAAACCTCAGTTCTTGACTTCTGTACACCAGCAGACTCAACACCACATGGAAGCATCCAAGGCTTGGGGCTTGCACCCTCTGAAGCCATGGCCTGAGCTGTACCTAGGCCCCTTTCAGTCACGCTGGGCATGGTGGCACGTGCCTGTAATCCCAGCTACTCAGGAGGCTGAGGCAGGAGAATTGCCTGAACCCAGGAGGTGGAGGTTGCTGTGAGCCGAGATCGCGCCATTGCACTCCAGCCTGGGTAACAAGAGCGAAACTCCGTCTCAAAAAAAAAAAAAGAAAGAAAACTTTTCCCAATACCCCACCATGACGACTTGAAATACAGTTGGCGTTGGCAATTTTGGACTGTCTCTATGGAGACTGAATAAAAAAATAAATAAATAAAAAAGAAAATGAATACTACATAAATAATTCTAAGTATATGTTGAGGCAGATACCTACTCTGGAGAAGTAGGTATAATTTTGAAATACAAACTCTGAGCATGGCACCTGCACTTATATTACAGTAATCAGAGGAACATTAAACATAACACATAATCCTAAGGATTCTATTTGTTGGTATTGTTGGGAAAAAGAGAAGAGAGGTTTTAGTCAGTCATTTTACTAACATTAAATGACAGTAAAATCCTACAACACCAGAAGTCATGCAGAAATTAAAATATAAAATAAATATGAGGACCATAAAAAATCTTTGGGATAAGAGTTAAATAAAGTTCAAGAAAATTTAAAGACATCTCATTAGGAACTTCCAAGTAATTTGATATATAATTGTTTAAATGGATCTTTTTACTTTAGGAATGTAGGCTTAAGTGGAGGCTGAATACTTTCAATAAACTGTGGTGGGTGCTGTTTAGATGACATGTACCCTGCTTTATTCATTTAATCTGGAAGCCAAAGAGCTTATTTGTAAATTCTGAAAAGACTGGAAAATTTTCATCTTGTTTTTTAACATTAAAATCTCAAGCACTGCTCACTATGATTTTTAAAAAGATATGTTCTGTATGACTTCAGGCAGTCTAGAAAAATAGATGGATAGATACTGATAATACATATGATTTTACTGGCTGATGACTTTTTAAAATTTTATATAATGAATGGTACGTTAAATTGAGAGAAAGAGAAGATACCAGTGAAAATTATAGGGTATATAATTTTATGAGTAATTTTTTGCAATACTTTTTATAAGAATAATATTGAGCAGACATTATGTTGTGATCACAATAATTCTTATTTGCTTGCCTTATATAGCCTTTTTCATATTACATAAAAGAAACAAAAACCTGTTCTCATAGAAAAATCCAATAGTCTATAAACTGACAGGAATTAGAATCATTTTCTTCAATTTAAAGAGGTTGCAGAATCCTGAAGATAAATACAAGGCTATCAAAATCTACACCGAGTAAGCATTGTGATAAAGAATCAAGCCAAAAGTGTCTATCTCTGCTGTGAGGCTTTCAGTAAACCACTTCTTTTTGTAGATATCTGTCGCTTTATGTGTAAATTGACTAGAAGTCTCCAAGCATTGTCTAGCTCTATAATTAAACCATCTTGTTCAAAGTTTGTGCTCAATTAAAACAAATTTTCTACAGTGTGGGAAAGTCGAAAAATGCATAAACTAGGACAGATCTCATTTTAAATTAACTGTACAAGTAAGCAGATAGCCTCAAAAGGGAACGACATACTGATTCATGCTACAATATGGATAAATCTTAAAAATGTGCTAAGTCAAGGAACAAAAGGATTACATATTATATGATTCCATTTATGTAAAATTATAAAATGTCCAAAATTAGCACACAAAATTTATGTACTATATGCACATAAATTACATAAAGTATAACACTGGTTACCTAGAACTAGAAGGATGGAGAGAGGAATACTTGTATTGGGTATGAGGTTTCCCTTTTTTTTTTTTGAGAGGGAATCTCACTCTGTTGTTCAGGCTGGAGTGCAGAGGCACTATCTCAGCCCACTGCAACCTCTTCCTCCCAGGTTCAAGTGATTCTCCCGAGAAGCTGGGATTACAGGCACCCACCACCATGCCTGGCTAAGTTTTGTATTTTTAGAAAAGATGGGGTTTCACCATGTTGGTCAGGCTAGTTTCAAACTCCTAACCTCCAGTGATCCACCCACCTCTGACTCCCAAAGTGCTGGGATTAAAAGCATGAGCCACCACGCCAGGCCAGGTTTCTTCTGAGGGTGACTAAAATGTTCTAAAATAAGTTTCTGATGATCCCAGAACTGTGAATATACTAAAAACGATTCAATTGACCACTTTACATGGGTGAATTGTACAGCATGTAAAATATGTCTCAATTAAGCTTTAAAAATAGATAGCAACATCCTTGTATAAAACAAGCCTATAGCAAGACAAGGTGATCAGAATATACATTTTATGAAAACAGGGATTTGCCTGTCTTTTTTTTTACTGCTGAATTCTCTGTACCTAAAATCTATAGCTAGCACCAGTTATATAGTGAACAAATTTTTGTCTGAAGTCTTACGTTAGGAATAGAAAAGCAAATAGCTTTAAGCTTAAAGTCATTTTCAACTTGTTAGGTTTTTACTAATTCTTTTGTTGTCCATCTGTCAGCAGTGTAACAGAAATAATCTTTCTTCTCATTCTTGTATACTAGGGGTATTGGATACAAGATTGCTCCCCTGTGGGCAGCAATCCAAACCAATATCTGTTATTGTCAGCCAAGGTAGGAAATGTGCTAGCTGGAAGAAGACAGAGCCCTAAGACATCAGAAGCAATTCTGTGTTGGCTGGCCTACGAGGGTGTGCACAGACCTTGTTATGATAAGCCCAGTTGGAATAGTGTCTTAGAGGCTTATACTAAGTCTGGAGAGTAAGATGTGCATGTCTACTTCCTGTCTTTGATTTTTTTCTATTTGTTTGTTTGTATGTTTTACCAGGTAT